AAAAGGGAACCAAAGGTCACTAATTCAGCAAACGCGGCCCTCATAAAGCAAAGCGATGGGCCAAATGAGTGTGCAGCATCATCAGGCTCCAAAAAAGGCTCCGATTTTATCACCAGGGCATAATTGTATCTTCCAGTGCAAGCTGACGAATCAGCATTTTGAGAGAGTGTTGCAGGTGTTACTTGACAAAAGAACACGATTCCCGGAATCCAATGACTCAAGAGGATGACCATCAAATGACACATTTTAGCGGGCACGGAACCATATTAAGTTTCTTCAGAGGGTGGCTGTGTGATTCCTCTCACCCGATGAGCCAACGCAAAATATGACAAAAAACACAAAAAAATACAATCATATTCAGTGGTACCTCTACTTAGGAAATTAATTAGTTCTGGGAGAAATTTATTAACTAGAAAATTTTGGAAGTAGAGACGCGTTTTCCATGTAAATGCCCTAATCCGTTCCAAGGCCCCCCAAAATTCAGATATAAATGTTTCCCAAAGCATAAAAATGCATCAAAATATGCACAAAATACATGTTACAATTAGATGATAAAATTATAACACATATCTATTTTTTATCTACACACACAGACACATTCCAGTAGAGGGCCCTCTTAGCCAATGGGATGCGAGGAAGATGCTCGGTTTTAGGCAATGGCAAAGCAGCTACAAGTATGTTGCATTCGTATACTGCGAGTAGGAGCCCATACTGTATTTTTACCTTTCGCATCTTGAAATTTATTTTGTAACAAGAGGCCATATTTTCCTGTTGAGGCATTTCGTAACTTGAAATTTTTGTATGAAGAGACGTTCCTAAGTTGAGGTACCACTGTATTATCCTGCTGGAATATTGTATTCAAAGCTGATTGGCTTTGGTAAGGTCATGCATTCTTGTAAACCAAGATGAGAAGTATATTTACATTCACCTCCTACTTTAAAAGTGATTCTAGACACACACTCGATACATGACGACAACGAACTAATTGCAAGCACTTGGCTCAAGTGTGCTGGAAGAGCAGTGAATCCTCCACAGTGCCCGCCTGTGCGTGTGGCGTCTAGGCAGCCTCTCTCCAGTTTAACAGCGTGTGCCAGGGCCTTGCTCTGCCTGCCGGAGCTGTACGTGCAGGCATTATTATCATTATATTAATGTGACATTAATTGCTTTTACTTTTTCACTCCATTAAGTGTGCTCTATCTCTTTGGGACCCCGGCCAGATGGTTTATCACTTCTTGTCCTGTTGGTAGCGCCATTAATGGGCTAAGACACTGAGCTATAAAATAATTGCGCCGCAGTGTTGGAAATGTTCGGCGTGCTAATTGAAAAGTAATTGCGGAGGTATAGTGCAACTGTCATGCCATAAAAGCCTGTCATAGGGGAGGGAGGAGGGCTCTCTAGTAAAAGGCTATTGTTTGCTTTCATACTATAAAGTGGTCAAAGACATGGAGCAACAATCTTTATGTTAACGGGGGAAATGATGCAATGAAAAGTCCACTCTTATCCTCGACCGCCACGTGTGTCAATATATCACGTTTTATACTCCGGTCATTCACACGTATACATCTACATATAGTAAAATTAACATTGTGAACAGGAGTCAATTAGGTAACAATGACAATGAGGAAATGTGAAGTGACTTTGAGGGGGTGATGCCTTTCCATTCATTTAACAGAAAAAAAGTGCTACGATCCGTCCAACTGAATTCCGGACCCCAAAGCAGGCTCAATATAAGAGTCAAGTACATAAAGGTTTACGAACGGAAAGAGCACGTGAAAAAACATAGTAGCGCAAATAAAAGAAGTCGACGTGAAACAAACACTAAAACTACAGAAATGACACGTAAGGAGTTGGACAGAGACACACACAAAGGACGACGATAACTAAACATGTTACCATATTATAGATTACGATCTTGTTATCAGATTATTATTATCATTATTTTGAAAACCTGATTTGTGTTCAAAATCAACGAAAAAATGAATCTGGAAAAGTTTACTTTTAGTCAAAAAATGTTTACCAGTGGGGTTTTTTTTTGTGTGTGTTTTTGGGGGGGGGGATTGTGAAGAAAATGATTGGCTGCTGCATGCAGACACAACACACGCAGAGGCACACAATCAATGCCTTTGGAGACTAAACAATATTCTCCCTACTCACCCGGTTGCGCACTTGCGTGCGTAGCAGCATCTTGAATGGAAGATGGCTGATTTGCTCTTTGTTGAGACCCACAGCAACTAAATTAGGATTGCTGTACTTTTCACAACCACCTGAGAAAATGTACTTCCAATGACCAAATGGAATAAATCATCCACATCACAATGCAAGCATTGGAAAAAAAAAAATCCTGAAAGAGCGCAATTCATTTCCTTGGCGAGAAAAAACAAACTCCTCAAACTTAGACTTCAGTTATTGTGTCAAATTCTGAGAGCTGCTGCCAAAATACTAAAAAATAGGCTCCAGCACACCCTGCCACCCTTGTGAGGATAATGCAGTTCAAAAAAAGGGATGGATGGATGGATGTACTCAATTTTATCATGCCAAGTGGTTGCATGAACTAAAATAATTTGGATCCAGAGATATTTTTATGTGAATGTACAGTCAACTTAAAAAATGTATCTAGATTCAGATGATTTTAGTTCATGCAACCATTCGACATGATACAATTGAATAAATTCAACACACCATTTTTTTCCCGTGTATTCAAGGAATCACTGTCAATCGACCACAAAACGGATGCATGATTGAAGTTTCATCTTGTGCAACTGCGAGCTAACCGTGGCTCCGAGGCCGCCAAGTGTCACTCATTTAGGCAATGGCAAAGCAGCTACCAGTATGTTGCATTCGTATACTGCGAGTAGGAGCCCATACTGTATTTTTACCTTTCGCATCTTGAAATTTATTTTGTAACAAGAGGCCATATTTTCCTGTTGAGGCATTTCGTAACTTGAAATTTTTGTATGAAGAGACGTTCCTAAGTTGAGGTACCACTGTATTATCCTGCTGGAATATTGTATTCAAAGCTGATTGGCTTTGGTAAGGTCATGCATTCTTGTAAACCAAGATGAGAAGTATATTTACATTCACCTCCTACTTTAAAAGTGATTCTAGACACACACTCGATACATGACGACAACGAACTAATTGCAAGCTCAAGTGTGCTGGAAGAGCAGTGAATCCTCCACAGTGCCCGCCTGTGCGTGTGGCGTCTAGGCAGCCTCTCTCCAGTTTAACAGCGTGTGCCAGGGCCTTGCTCTGCCTGCCGGAGCTGTACGTGCAGGCATTATTATCATTATATTAATGTGACATTAATTGCTTTTACTTTTTCACTCCATTAAGTGTGCTCTATCTCTTTGGGACCCCGGCCAGATGGTTTATCACTTCCCGTCCTGTTGGTAGCGCCATTAATGGGCTAAGACACTGAGCTATAAAATAATTGCGCCGCAGTGTTGGAAATGTTCGGCGTGCTAATTGAAAAGTAATTGCGGAGGTATAGTGCAACTGTCATGCCATAAAAGCCTGTCATAGGGGAGGGAGGAGGGCTCTCTAGTAAAAGGCTATTGTTTGCTTTCATACTATAAAGTGGTCAAAGACATGGAGCAACAATCTTTATGTTAACGGGGGAAATGATGCAATGAAAAGTCCACTCTTATCCTCGACCGCCACGTGTGTCAATATATCACGTTTTATACTCCGGTCATTCACACGTATACATCTACATATAGTAAAATTAACATTGTGAACAGGAGTCAATTAGGTAACAATGACAATGAGGAAATGTGAAGTGACTTTGAGGGGGTGATGCCTTTCCATTCATTTAACAGAAAAAAAGTGCTACGATCCGTCCAACTGAATTCCGGACCCCAAAGCAGGCTCAATATAAGAGTCAAGTACATAAAGGTTTACGAACGGAAAGAGCACGTGAAAAAACATAGTAGCGCAAATAAAAGAAGTCGACGTGAAACAAACACTAAAACTACAGAAATGACACGTAAGGAGTTGGACAGAGACACACACAAAGGACGACGATAACTAAACATGTTACCATATTATAGATTACGATCTTGTTATCAGATTATTATTATCATTATTTTGAAAACCTGATTTGTGTTCAAAATCAACGAAAAAATGAATCTGGAAAAGTTTACTTTTAGTCAAAAAATGTTTACCAGTGGGGTTTTTTTTTGTGTGTGTTTTTGGGGGGGGGGATTGTGAAGAAAATGATTGGCTGCTGCATGCAGACACAACACACGCAGAGGCACACAATCAATGCCTTTGGAGACTAAACAATATTCTCCCTACTCACCCGGTTGCGCACTTGCGTGCGTAGCAGCATCTTGAATGGAAGATGGCTGATTTGCTCTTTGTTGAGACCCACAGCAACTAAATTAGGATTGCTGTACTTTTCACAACCACCTGAGAAAATGTACTTCCAATGACCAAATGGAATAAATCATCCACATCACAATGCAAGCATTGGAAAAAAAAAAATCCTGAAAGAGCGCAATTCATTTCCTTGGCGAGAAAAAACAAACTCCTCAAACTTAGACTTCAGTTATTGTGTCAAATTCTGAGAGCTGCTGCCAAAATACTAAAAAATAGGCTCCAGCACACCCTGCCACCCTTGTGAGGATAATGCAGTTCAAAAAAAGGGATGGATGGATGGATGTACTCAATTTTATCATAGAAATGACACATAAGGAGTTGGACAGAGACACACACAAAGGACGACGATTATTAAACATGTTACTATATTATAGATTACGTTCTTGTTATCATATTATTATTATCATTATTTTGAAAACCTGATTTGTGTTCAAAATCAACAGAAAAAATGAATCTGGAAAAGTTTAGTTTTAGTCAAAAAATGTTTACCAGTGTTTTTTTTTGGGCGGGAATGTGGTTCTGAAGAAAATGATTGGCTGCTGCATGCAGACACAACACACGCAGAGGCACACAATCAATGCCTTTGGAGACTAAACAATATTCTCCCTACTCACCCGTGTGCGCACTTGCGTGCGTAGCAGCATCTTGAATGGAAGATGGCTGATTTGCTCTTTGTTGAGACCCACAGCAACTAAATTAGGATTGCTGTACTTTTCACAACCACCTGAGAAAATGTACTTCCAATGACCAAATGGAATAAATCATCCACATCACAATGCAAGCATTGGAAAAAAAAAAATCCTGAAAGAGCGCAATTCATTTCCTTGGCGAGAAAAAACAAACTCCTCAAACTTAGACTTCAGTTATTGTGTCAAATTCTGAGAGCTGCTGCCAAAATACTAAAAAATAGGCTCCAGCACACCCTGCCACCCTTGTGAGGATAATGCAGTTCAAAAAAAGGGATGGATGGATGGATGTACTCAATTTTATCATGCCAAGTGGTTGCATGAACTAAAATAATTTGGATCCAGAGATATTTTTATGTGAATGTACAGTCAACTTAAAAAATGTATCTAGATTCAGATGATTTTAGTTCATGCAACCATTCGACATGATACAATTGAATAAATTCAACACACCATTTTTTTCCCGTGTATTCAAGGAATCACTGTCAATCGACCACAAAACGGATGCATGATTGAAGTTTCATCTTGTGCAACTGCGAGCTAACCGTGGCTCCGAGGCCGCCAAGTGTCACTCACGAGTTTGTGTCCGTCCCATTATTGATGAACGCCCGTTGTTTAAGGTGATGTCGGGTCAACGAGAGGGCCGCCCCGCTCTCATTTAAGCCGTCATTATGAAAACAAATCAGCCTTTTGCTGCTTATCAGCCTCTCATCGACTCCCCTTGGAGCCGCTGTCGAGCGGCCAATCCAACATATTGACGCCTATTGACTGGGACTTGAGGAAGAGGAAGATGTTGAACTTGTCCAACACAGATCAGGGTCAGGGCAATGAAGGGGGCCTTGGGGGTTTGTTTGCGTGTCTGTATGAGATCCAATAGTGCTGCGTGTGCTCCAAATGAATGGAATGAAATGAAGCCTGGAACTGGCGTGACAAAGTCCACCAAGTACGATTTTACATCCTTATTGTGTGTTTTTTTTTGTTTTTTTTGTTTGTTTGTTTCGACACCGCACAGAGAAGAACAATTTCATTACAGGAAGAAATATCATCCCTGGGCTGCGTGTGCTCCAAATGAATGGAATGAAATGAAGCCTGGAACTGGCGTGACAAAGTCCACCAAGTATGATTTTACATCCTTATCGTGTGGTTTTTGTTTTTGTTTGTTTGTTTGTTTGTTTCAACACCACACAGAGAGGAACAATTTCATTACAGGAAGAAATATCATCCCTGGAGGTTAAAGATCCAGTGGGAAGCACATTTCACCTCAACACCCAATTTCCCCTCCCTTCCTTGCTGCCTCCTTCCTCTCAAGGTCAATACCTTCAAATAGTGGTCCAAAGGAGGAGGAGTAGTACCCCAAGCGTGGTCGCGACCTCCACCAATGCCCGCTCAAAGGCTTTTGGGGGCAGCGACGGTATGTCAAACTAATGTGAAAAGTGTACCCATTGCCTCTTTATTTCTCCATTTGGAGCCCTCATTAAGGCCATTCATGGACACTTTAGAAGGCTCCTGCACATCAGGCGTCAATCCGCCCCCCACCCTTCCTTCGGCGCGCCTTTCCCAATCAAATAACTCTCATTAAAAGCCCATTGGAGGAAGAGGGGGTCACCGCGGTGGTTGTATCCATATAGTACGATCATACTAATGTAATATTGATTGCCCTCAGTCACCATGGCACCAGGACAATAGTCCAGTCCAACATGCCTCTGGTCAGTCCCCCCCCCAGCCGCTTGGCTGGCTATGTGACCCACGCAGCAGATTAAAAAGCACGGCTCCCTTTGCTCGCCTTTGTGACGCGGGACGCTCCAGACGGCAGCGGCAGACAAAGTCGGAGGACAACATTTAAATGCATTCATAAACATTGTCCTCAAAGAGGCAGCCCCGCGCCGTCGTAAATCTCCAACTCATCCTCTTCGCCTCTCGCCACCGGCCTGTCAAGCTTCAGAGGAAGTATAAACAAGAAGTCTGTGAAAATACGGCGAGGTGAAGCGTGCACAAATGCGCAGCTCGCAGAAAGTCGTCCCCCGTGACTGCATGTGCAGCACTAGACAGCCTGGGGCGGAGGGGTTGCACTGAGCCAAAGGATTTGTTTGTTCTCACACAGAAAACACTTGACCGCTTACATGCAATGAGAAAATATGTGTCCAAAGCCCACTTTTCTTCTTGAGCTGACGTCAGATTGAATTCCAAATCTCTGAGAGCGTTTCTTTGGTTATTTTGCCAGGACAGCTGTCCGCATCCATCCGGCAGACCACGCAGAAAGAAGCCGTGCGAAAGTACAGAGGAGGAAAGATGGGATACCATTTTCAAAATGTCTCAGTTGCTTGATCACCCACGTCTATTTTTGATTCAAGTGAGTGATTTGCATAGAAAAGTTCATAAGCACGGGACATAAGGATACGGCCATAAAAGTGAGCAGTAAAAAATTTAACTATGACAGAATATTAAAAGTGGCAGTAAATTGTGGCAAAGGCAGCCACTTCGTCGGTTGGGAGCGCTAATCTCAGGCTCACTGTACACAGAGAATAAAACATCACCTGCAGCGCCCTGACAGATATGCTCGGCTCTCACGCTCTCATCCCGGCCGCATTGTTAAGATTTAAGATAATGACACAATGACTTTCACATTGATGCCGACATTGAATCTTTTTTAAGAGGCCTCCCGCCGCACGGCCGCGTCGGCCTGTCAGCCACTGGCAGTGAAAGAGTTGAATGTCGTTTCCCGACATCGGGAAGAAATTGTTCGTAACGTCGGGGCCTCACACTTGTCTCAACTCATTTATTTCAGCCAAGGTCTACGGATATAAATAAAAGGAAATGTTACTGGCGCATTTCAACTCAGCGCCAGCCTTGAGAGCTGTAATGTAACCACATATCATCAAAAGTGCTGAATCTCCTTTTGTCACCACACATGACGTGCAATTCCTCCAAACATATTCACGCCGGTTGCTATTCAGACAAATAAATAACCGCATGGCGCTCAGGACAGACCCTTTACTTCAGCCTCTTAGCTAATGCTCAGTGTCCATCACGCTGGCTACATCGGTAACGTGAGTGCAAGCCAGTGCCCAAAAGGCAGACCGTTTTCGGAATATAAAATAAGTCTCAAAAGGTCCAACAAAACGCGGAGTTCAAACCATTTCTCAAGAGACCGAGCGTCCAAGTGTGTTTTTGTCTGCAATGGAAATAAGCTCATTTCTATCGTGGGCTACATTGTAGTTAGGATTTCTCTTGGAGCGCTTTTGACTGAAAGCACATCGCCTCGTATTGTCACATGCACACAACAAATTGACGAATAGGGAAAAGGTTCGTAACAAAATATGAATACCCTCATTAAAAATGAATACAATTCGTATTTTTGGTACGGGTTTAGCAAGAAACCCGGACAAGAATCACATGAGTTGGATCGGTGTGTTTAAAAAGTGCCTTTGGTGTCCTTATCAGACTCTCAGTCAGTCTTAATCATCATGGGAATGTAGTCCAAAAATGAAACTCGGAGGTCGCATTAGAAGTGCTGAAATGTTTGCTCACATACCAGGACCAAAGAAACCCTCTGATGTTTTCGGCGACATTACGATCGGTATTCTGTCTTTCCGCAAAGGAGAGAGAATACTTTCATGCCTGTTTTGTAATTCACGTCAAATTCTGTACGTATACGTCCTTTATGTCATCGTGAAATATCAGCTGATCTAAAAAAAAAGAAATAGAATCGAAAAATATCATGATCAAACATGACAAAGTCAGTTTGCCAATTGATTCAAGTGCCGGTCCACCAAGTACCCATTAAATGCGAACACCAGCATAAATGTCCACCCTGTCAACAACCTCACATATTGCATTTCCAACAGCGCAACATCTGTTGAATAAAATGAATATGATGTTCAGGCGAAAGCATTTTGGAACTTGAAATGGGGAAGTCTCATCGGCATGATTTCATTGCTTTAGTAAGTCACATGAACTGAAATGGTGCCCAGGCCTTGACGTTGACACCTGTGGCAAATGGAAAAATGTGTGATGATAACCATAGAACCGGAAATGGAAGTTAAGGGCAGCGTTTTGGAACTGAAGGCTAACGCTCCGCTGTGGACCAAAAAAACAAAACAAAAGAAAGAGCTACTAGTCTGCTTTTCAGCCTGCTTCCGTGGTGCCCTTGAGCAAGATGCTGACGCCACTGCCTCCAAGAGGGGCAGACCCCTTCACTCTGACTCAGGTGTGATCTGGTTTTATGTGGAGTTGCAGTTTAACAGGCGGTCCGTAGGTGGAGCTCTTCTCATTATAATATACATTACAGTACATTACTTTACAAGGCGTCTTTTCTCCGCATCTGCCTTGAGGGTTATCTATCTTTTCCTCTGTGCTTTCCGCAGAGAGCAAAAACGCAGTTAGAGAAACAAACATTGCGCCTTGAAGGTCTCACACCCTTGAACTTCTTCAATCTTAATGTCCATTTGTGTTTTCTGCTTGTACTTAACAGATCAGACGCTCTGAGAGAGAACCGCAAACGGGCAAGTCCCCGGAGCAGGATGACTTAATTGAGCTATCCTGGGAAATCTAATTACAATAATGCACGGAGGATTGTGAGTTATTCCCTCTGCTTCTGCTCCAACACCTCCACAACACACACACACACACACACACACACACACACACACACACACACACACACACACACACACACACACACACACCCGCGACAGAGGGGCTTGCAAGAGAATGGGCAGAGGGTGAGTGGCATGGCGGTGGAAAGAGGCAAAATGTACAACAACTGTAAAACATTTCATGGGAGATGTTTTAATCACAATTCATGGGCCAGTAAAAAAAAAAAAAAAGAAACAGCCGCACAATTGGTGAGCAGCTTCGTCAGGTCAAAACAATGACAAGGGAATAAAGCGGTGGCAGCTGAGCATTTGGTTCTTGGGCCTTGAGTCGAGCTTGGTGACGTAACAACACGAATCCGTTGCAGTTATTGAAAACCTTCATTGCGGTCCAAAAACACAATCGAACATCATCATTCGGAGCAGTTCGGAATCAGTATTTATCCAATGCCACGACAAAAACATTTCAAGTAAATATACCCATCAGAAATTATGATTAATTAATGTTTGTGTAATTTGTTCCTCAAACTTGGGTTGCACTCACCGACCAATGAGAAGATGGAGAAATGCTGACACCTTTGAGGATTAGCGCTCTGGCCCTGTGTGGAACAATCTGAAGTCTGATTGGTTCAAGACACGGCCCCATTGCAAATACAGTAAAGTTCAAGTGATATCAGACAGCACTCCTGATTCTGAAGGTCCCCAGCAGATTTGATTTACGTGGCAACACATAAAGGCTGAAATGTGATCCAAAAAAATGTAAAAGCAGTGCAGCCAAGAGAAATGCTATGAAATTAAGGAAATACATACTTAGGAACGAAAAATATATATGTAGGTCAGTTCCTCTGCTGGTGTTTAGGTCCTTATTGGAATGAAGTCGCTTTTTCCTGTGATGGTCGATGCTTCTCGAAAGGAGCGTTACACGCGGGCGGACGTGTGAAAAGAGAGGAGCAATATTAATGAGAAAGCACACTCGATTTGCTATTGCAACGTGCAGCTGGGGAATGATCATTGCCACATGAGCGTGCGGCGTTATTGAGCAAATCAGGACAATTCAAAGTGACATTTGCAGTGTATATCGTTGTTGCCGGAGCCTAGTAAACAAACCGCGGAGCCACACGCACACACGCGGCGCACTTAGTGGAATTCCTAACAGAATGGATCCTCTGCAGTCAGAGGATCCATTCTGTTAGGAATCATTGACGCTGTTCATCTAGCTCAGCTCATGCTGAGGTAACGGCAAAAACTGTTTCTGATGCCTGTCCATATAACGGTAGAGACACTTTAACATGAACAATTCCAATAAATGTGGCGAGACGTGAATTGCATGGCTGCGACTGAGTGAATTTCCCGCTGCACCCTAACACCGCGGACAGAAACAATTGCGTATGCTTTCTCGTGTCGTCGATAGGAGTGCATGTGCGCATCTGCCTTGAGGGTTATCTATCTTTTCCTCTGTGCTTTCCGCAGAGAGCAAAAACGCAGTTAGAGAAACAAACATTGCGCCTTGAAGGTCTCACACCCTTGAACTTCTTCAATCTTAATGTCCATTTGTGTTTTCTGCTTGTACTTAACAGATCAGACGCTCTGAGAGAGAACCGCAAACGGGCAAGTCCCCGGAGCAGGATGACTTAATTGAGCTATCCTGGGAAATCTAATTACAATAATGCACGGAGGATTGTGAGTTATTCCCTCTGCTTCTGCTCCAACACCTCCACAACACACACACACACACACACACACACACACACACACACACACACACACACACACACACACACACCCACACACTACACACACACACACACACACACACACACACACACACACACACACACACACACACACACACACACTTGCAAGAGAATGGGCAGAGGGTGAGTGGCATGGCGGTGGAAAGAGGCAAAATGTACAACAACTGTAAAACATTTCATGGGAGATGTTTTAATCACAATTCATGGGCCAGTAAAAAAAAAAAAAAAGAAACAGCCGCACAATTGGTGAGCAGCTTCGTCAGGTCAAAACAATGACAAGGGAATAAAGCGGTGGCAGCTGAGCATTTGGTTCTTGGGCCTTGAGTCGAGCTTGGTGACGTAACAACACGAATCCGTTGCAGTTATTGAAAACCTTCATTGCGGTCCAAAAACACAATCGAACATCATCATTCGGAGCAGTTCGGAATCAGTATTTATCCAATGCCACGACAAAAACATTTCAAGTAAATATACCCATCAGAAATTATGATTAATTAATGTTTGTGTAATTTGTTCCTCAAACTTGGGTTGCACTCACCGACCAATGAGAAGATGGAGAAATGCTGACACCTTTGAGGATTAGCGCTCTGGCCCTGTGTGGAACAATCTGAAGTCTGATTGGTTCAAGACACGGCCCCATTGCAAATACAGTAAAGTTCAAGTGATATCAGACAGCACTCCTGATTCTGAAGGTCCCCAGCAGATTTGATTTACGTGGCAACACATAAAGGCTGAAATGTGATCCAAAAAAATGTAAAAGCAGTGCAGCCAAGAGAAATGCTATGAAATTAAGGAAATACATACTTAGGAACGAAAAATATATATGTAGGTCAGTTCCTCTGCTGGTGTTTAGGTCCTTATTGGAATGAAGTCGCTTTTTCCTGTGATGGTCGATGCTTCTCGAAAGGAGCGTTACACGCGGGCGGACGTGTGAAAAGAGAGGAGCAATATTAATGAGAAAGCACACTCGATTTGCTATTGCAACGTGCAGCTGGGGAATGATCATTGCCACATGAGCGTGCGGCGTTATTGAGCAAATCAGGACAATTCAAAGTGACATTTGCAGTGTATATCGTTGTTGCCGGAGCCTAGTAAACAAACCGCGGAGCCACACGCACACACGCGGCGCACTTAGTGGAATTCCTAACAGAATGGATCCTCTGCAGTCAGAGGATCCATTCTGTTAGGAATCATTGACGCTGTTCATCTAGCTCAGCTCATGCTGAGGTAACGGCAAAAACTGTTTCTGATGCCTGTCCATATAACGGTAGAGACACTTTAACATGAACAATTCCAATAAATGTGGCGAGACGTGAATTGCATGGCTGCGACTGAGTGAATTTCCCGCTGCACCCTAACACCGCGGACAGAAACAATTGCGTATGCTTTCTCGTGTCGTCGATAGGAGTGCATGTGTGTTTGTGATTGAGAGCAAGGTCAAAGGGACACCACGCAGGCTTGCCAATGGGGGAGCGCTGAACGACGAGAGTGGGGCGGGCGGCGGGGGGCTTGGCGTGGGGCTGCGCCTGTGCCCAAGGCCAAAGCCACACAGACGGACACCATATTGAAATTAGCAAATGGACTGCATAGTGTCGCTTGCTGCCCCATTTGTGCTCGCTTCCTCTGGATGATATACACATGCGCCCAGCCAAGGGATGCCGCACTTTCAAAAGGGCAGCGATGTGCAGGAGAGGCGGTGTGTGTGTGTGTG